AGGAACCACCTTTGGTGGGATGGTAACAGCGTTCCGTGCACCTTCGGCATTTAGTCATGCCGGCCAAATAACCACGGAGACATCTTCAGACAGTGCTGGCTCTTTGGCTTTGAAACGGAGATGAGCACCGCCCCCTTGAGTCGGGAATGACTAGGACATATGTGTGAAGGGAACCTTTACCTTTACCTATTATTATTAAGATGTACTAGATGCATTTACATAATATATTGAGTTTGATTATGATTAGGTTTTGGTAGCTTCCTGCGTTATGGAAACTCAACTCACTGAATATATCCATTTTCAGCATATAGTATATTAAAGCCTAACCTGGCCAAATTAGCTGAGTTACATAATAGGCAAGCTTGCACAGAACTAATCAAACAAGTTGAATTGATTGTGTCAGTTATGCCAGCCACATGACCATGGAGACATCTTCAGACAGCGCTGGCTCTTTGGCTTTGAAACGGAGATGAATCAGGAATGACTAGCACAGATGTGCGAGGGGAACTTTTACCTTTACTTTTAAGACTTTTTACAACTTGGCATTGTTGCAGCCAATCCATTTTGAGCCGGAACATTGGAGTTTCCCAAAAGGTAGGTCAGCGCTTGAACAAACATTCACTTCATTGGATAAAAAAATAAAAATATTAATCACTGCTGATTAATTGTGTCTGAATTTCCCAGCAATTCTCATCTTGCAAGAATCATAACATGATAGGAAATGCCATTCTGTATCTGCATTCTCTCATTAATCTTCTTCTCTGCTTTTAGGAGCATCGTGGAGTGGCAAGCATCCAACGGTGTTCTACCTACACTGAAAGATTTCACTCTTCATTGGCAGCATGGCTGAATTCCAATAAACAGAAACAAGTCAGCAAGTGGTTTCCAGCATTGCAGAAGAGATTGTGGATGAGTAGCTAAAGCTTCATGTAAGACAGCCATATACCCTTTTTCCCCCAGGGTATGGTGTTGGACAAAATTCTGCCAATTCTTTTAACCTGTTAGTCATAATCTGTTTATGCAATTATTGCAGACCAAAAACAGCCTGGTTTTTGGGAAATTGCACAATATCTGAAACGGCGGATGCAGCATGAGGCCTCTTTCTCCAGGAGATGGACTTTCCCCTCTGGGCCTGCTCACACGAGGGCCTGACTACTTGCGTAAGCAGCTGGAGATGAGCAGCGGTGGGCGGACGCCGAGTGCCGTGGAGAGGCTGGAAGCTGACAAAGCCAAATATGTCAAGTCTCGGCAAGTGATCAACAGCCGTCAAGAGCCAATTCTGCTCAGCCACACACCCCAGTCCTCCCCATGCTGCAGGAGACCCCTAACCCTCCACCAGCAGAGTGAATTTCCTCAGGGCTTGACCGCAGACCAAGATGGCCTCAGACCCAAGAAGCAGCCCGCTTCTCCTCAGTCCCCCATCGCGCGGCGAGGGGGTAGCAGGCGCCTACTCAGGCCTGACTCGCTTGTCATCTACCGGCAAAAACGCGACTGTTCTCTGATCAACAAGGAGAACAGCAAAGGGTACAACCTAATGAAGTGGCTGTTTCAGGGCCCACTGAGAGATGGACCTCATAACTGTTCTCCTTCAAGGAGTCTTTTAGGAGAGGGACATCTGGAAGTGACCCAAGAAGAGAACTCCATGGTTTGGGTACCTGCAGAGAAGGAGGACGCAAGGACTGCACATTCAGTGGACATGTCAGATCGATTCATGGGTTGTCAGTCTGAGTCTAGTCAAAAAACCCAGCCCGATTCTCATCTCACTGTTGACCAGCCCTTTCCTTCCTCAGGCCATTACCAGACAGAAGGCAAGAAAGAGCTGACTCTGAGCTATTCTCTTCCTCTTTCAGAGAAAGAACGGTTCTTTAATTACTGTGGCTTGGACCGGAATTTGGTCGAGGTGCTCGGAATCGAAAGCTTCAAACCAGGCAGCTGGGAAGCTGGTTCCTTCTGCATTGGGTCAGCTAGTTCTGAACACGATGGACTTTCCTTCAATGGGGAGCCCTTGTCTGCTGAAGACCCAAGTGACAAGCTGCCTGCATCCGTCTCGGTGGTTGAGCGAAACGCCCGTGTCATTAAATGGCTTTACAGCTGTCAGCGGGCCCAGACAAGGTCCAAAGAATCTACAGTATGAACTCATAAGGGTCTGGGCGTCCAAGACTCTCCCTTGATCTCAAGTGTAAGGGGAAAGTACTGTTTTGGAGTGGGGTGGCAAGGCTCACCATGGGAAACAGAGCAGGGAATATCACCAAATATGTCTTTGTCAAAGGAATACTTTTGAGAACCAGTTGGTCTTGAACTTTTGCTGAATTTTTCCCAGTCATGGCTCCATAATAATGATTAATTACCATACTGAGAATTCTGAGAATTGAAATTCGGAGGCAGTGATGGGATTCAAAACATTTTACTACCAGTTCTGTGGGTGTGGCTTGGTGCACGTAGCTTGGTGGGTGTGGCAGGGGAAGGATACTGCAAAATCTACATTCCCCCCCCCCCCCACTAACCTGCTTTCCAGCTCCCTTCTCCTGTGCAGGGCAACAGAAGAAGACCCAGCCAATCACCTGGGACTTGGGAGGCAGCAAATAGATTGGGGATGGGGCCAGCCAGAGGCAGTATTTTCCGGTTCTCCAAACTACTCCAAATTTCTGCTATCAGTTCGCCAGAACTGATCAGAACTGGCTGAATACCACCTCTGGGCGGAGGGTCTCAAATAGGAAAGTATTCCCTAAAGGTATCCTTGGCAATAAGGATACATTTTCCAGCAGTGGTGGAATTCAGCCAGTTCACACCTGAGGTGGGTTACTAATTTTTTTACTGCCGGTTCAGGTGCACTCCTCTGTGTGCATGACGCTTCTATGCATGCACAGAAGCGGGCGGGCGGGCAGGCGGAGCCTCCTGCCACCGGTACTACTGGTTCACCCGAACCGGCAGCAACCCACCTCTGGTTCGCACCACTCCAGGAGAACCGGTTGTTAAGTTTCTGAGCAGTTTGGTGAACTGGTTGTTGGAAGAAATCATTAGGGCAGAGAACCGGTTGTTAAGTTTCTGAGCAGTTTGGTGAACTGGTTGTTGGAAGAAATCAT